CATCGCGCCCGGGCGTCCTCCGGGCTGATTAAAGCAGTGCTGCTGAGAACGGCTGCCTTTGTGTTGCCTGAGTCTGGTCTGTGTGGGCGAGGGGGAGGGATGGAGCAGCTACACCAGGGAAGGCTGGATCCTTCTTCCGGTCCCGCTGCAGGAGCCGTCCCTATGGCAACGGCCTGCCCGGAGGAAGGAGCCCTGCCCTGCCTGTGGAATTGTCCTGAGTCATGGCTTTGGGCTGAGGCCATGGGAAGAAACCATTGTGCAGCGAGGCGGCAGCCCTGGGGAAGGGGGCTCAGGCTGGGCACCCAGTGCCGGGCAGGGGCTGCTGGCAAGCTCAAGTCCCTGTGGGCCTTCCCCATGGCCTGGAACCACTGCCCGCCCCGGCCTGCTCTCACAGGTGGGAGGGCCGGGTGCACAGTGCAGGCCAGCAGGCTCAGCTAGAGACCTGAGGCCTTTAGGGAGTCACGGGGGCAGGGAGGGCTGGAGGCATGGGTGTTGGCAAGAGAGGAACCAGGCAGGCTGACTAGCAGGGCGGGCCCAGTCACACAGCAGCTGTAGGCGGGCTCCGGCTAAGTTTCACTTCCCGCCTCTGGGGCCAGCAGCGGAGCCGTGTGCTGTGTGCTGTGTGCCGTGTGCCGGAGTCATTGCCACCCACCGGTCTGCCTGCACTTGGTAAGTGAGGACCCTGGGATTGGGCAGGGTGGGAAGGCCAAGGGCTCCGCTCCCCCCCCCCCCAACTAAGTGGGTACTAGGGGAGAAACCAAACCTCCCCCAGTTGAGAGCTGATCACACAAGACGCCACCTACTCTCTGGCTTCCTGCCCTGAAAGTGGGTTCTGGAGCTCACCACTGTGCAGGGGGCCAGAGCAGTGCCTGCCCCCCCGCCCCCCCCCATCTCAGACCGTGTCCCTGGAGCACTCACACTGCTCTGTCCTCCAGGCTCAGGCAGGCATCCGCCATGCGCTCGCAGGCCCCGCCCCCAGGCCCCATGCAGACCCTGATCTTCTTGGACCTGGAGGCCACCGGCCTGCCCTTCTCCCAGCCCAAGATCACAGAGCTGTGCCTGCTGGCCGTCCACAGATGTGCCCTGGAGAGCCCGCCCGCCCCGCAGCGGCCTCTGACGGCGCCCCCCCCACCCCGCGTGGTGGACAAGCTCTCCTTGTGTGTGGCGCCAGGGAAGGCCTGCAGCCCTGCGGCCAGCGAGATCACCGGCCTGAGCACCGCCAC